CCCCCCCCGTTCGCCTAATTGCGTTCATACCCCTAAGACTCCCCCACTTCCCCCAAAAATCCTTGGCACACCCCTTTTTGCACTTCCCGGCCCACACTCCACCCCGATCAGGAAGTCGCGCTGGGCGTGAGGTTGGGCGTCACATGCTTGCATAAGGATTTTTGTGAATATTTTTTGGCGGAAGTAAATGAATATGAAAATTTAATTACTCGAAATGCATATTTTTAAAAAAGAGTAGAAGACATTTGAGTAATTAATAAAGAAGGATAGATGTGCATGTCACATGTGTAGTAAATTAGTAGTAGCTGAAGCTTGAAGATGTGTGGGCTATTGTTGGCATTTGTTGCTTTACTTTTTGCTTGATTATCAAACTTTTTGCGGCGATTTGCCATTTTTGATTCACCACCAACTCCCCGCCATACTAGGCACACGTTGATCGCCGGAAGCAGTCCTCCCTGGTCGCTCTGGGAAGGCGAGGCCACCACCCATCCCAACCTCGTGACAATACTCCTAGTGTATCCCCTATCCCTACAGTAACTATCCTACCTCACTGTGACCAGCACTCAGGACCGTCACCCTACCTTAGGCTACCAGTATCGAGGGGAACTTGGACCGAACAGTAGCGACAGGCACCAGGGCTAGCGACCCCGTTTGAAGGCCTAATACTGTACAGGATGCTGACTCTGTTTGTCACTGGATGGTGTTATCCAAACCGAGAGATGGAGCCCGAGCAACAACCCCGACAGACTGGGCACTCGGGGTTACGCTCGCACCACAGGTTACCATCTCAGTTTCCTCTGTCACTACCTATGTACCAGTTCTCCTAAGCTTATACAGGGGATCCCTGCAAGCATAGCTACCTCTCACAATCAAGGGGATGGATGTTTCTCCCTGCCCTACTTGGTGGTGGTCAGGGAGTAGGGTGGGGCTGTTGGTGGGGAACGGGGGGCTTACTGCAAAGACCGAGCATTTGCCAGTAGCTGCACCGCCCATCTACTTCTCCCGGCCCAATAGATTAACAGCAGTGCCTAAGGCCAGCACTCACACACCACACACAACCCTTCCCCTCCCCCCACACAACCGGGATGGCGAAAGACCCTACCAATACCGACTCGGGGGAGCAAGCCAACCATCTGATTTGGTTGGCACTAAGCATGCAGTGCCCAGGTGGCTTGCGGGAATTGAACTCACGACCTCCTGAATGCCACTTGCGAGCCTAACCAATGGGCTAGGCCGCTTGGTCATTCTCTTCATTTGATTGCATGGGGATTTGAACTTCGGCCTGTATTTCAACAGTTCATGGGTATTAGGAATTTAGCTACGCCTCCCCCCCAAAAGGGATAATTTGCAAAATACCCCCATAAGTTGAGGTAAACGCCAAAATGCCCCTGAAAGATGTGGGTAGAGCGGACTGCCCTTTTGGGCCGAGCTCTTTGTGTTATGCCCCTGTCGGGCAGGTGTGCAAATTTGCAATCTGGACCTCCCCATTTCGGCCCTGGGGTTTTGCAATCGGGCCAAGGAAAAGTTGGCAAGTACCTGGGCCTTTTGCAAAGGTGAACGGTACATGCTAGGGGTATATTATAAAGTTGGGGTTCCTTTCCTTTTTTTTTTAAGAGCCCTTGTGTAAGCCCTCTATCCCGGCGGTGGTAAGAGAACCGTCCTAATTGAGGGCTTATCTGCCGGGCTGCTCCATCCATTGGTGGGGAGCGGCACCTGCTCGAAACCGGGTCCAGCGTCCCATTGATACAGCTGAGAATCAGGCTCAACCGAGCGCTAGGGGCATTTTGCAAAATAGTTTTTTTGTCAGAGGGGCATTCCGCTCTACCCGCATCTTTCAGGGACATTTTGACGTATATCTCAACTTCTGTGTTTATTTCGCAAATTATCTCCCCACCAACACATATTCCCCCCCCCCCCCCCCCGAAAAAAAAAACAAGGACTTGAGCTACGCCCGTTGGTAAGGGGCCGGATTTCAAAGCGGGCGTTGCAATCGGCCTCCCTGGGGCTGGACGACGGTTCACATCACGGCGGTCAAGCAGGATTATACTCCCTCTTCACCCGTCAACCGCTGGCCCTTCAATATATCTTTTTTTCTTTTTTTTTTCTTTTTTATTTTTTTTTTCTTTTTTTCACCGGTCAAACCAGAGCGCTCGCCCTTCAATATCCTCTTTTTTTTTTTCTTTTTTTTTTTAATTTGTTGTTGTTGTTGTTGTTGTTGTTGTTGTTGTTGTTGTTGTTGTTGTTCTCTCGACAGTGACCACTCGATGGTATGTATGTTCGTTCTTTGCGTACTCATCTTCAATGTATCCTCTTGATAGTGACGATTCGATGGGTCTCGCCGCACCACTCACCAAATGTACGAAAATATGAGAACGAATGTTCTGCTAAAACATGGAAAAGTACACGGCCATAATTTTTGTCTTTTGTGCATTTGGGGAGTGATGCGGCGAGGGCCCTTACCCTTCGAGCCATAGCTCGCGTACCGTTATCAGGATCAGTGGCTCCTTCAGCAAAAAGGAAAGGGAAGTGCAAAAAAAAAAAAAAAAAAAGCTCCTTCGCCTCCTCCCGCTTTCTCGACTGGCAGATCGGCTTGTCACTTCAATTCAATCTGAGGGCATACGCAGACGACTACTTTTCAAATGAGCTCTGGACGTGATAGCGGTCACATTCGTCCAGGCGCGCGGCTGTAAAATGCAGCCAGCGAGTTGACACACAGGGAGCACTCTGCTCGGCCTAATTCAAAACCCAAAAAAAAAAAAGAAAACAAGAAAAGAAAAGAAATGCTGAACCAGAACAGCAGCGCGTATATAAGTACTACCGGTCACCTTTCTGTGCAAGAACGGACTCAGCAGTCGTTGGAGCCGGCGGGTCCCAATTGCAGCTGTGGCTGCATTTGGGAAGCGTTTTGTTCTCTGTGTCTCTTTGAAAATGGTGGCTGTAGCCTGTAGCTGAGGCCTGGCGATGGAGCTCGAATCGAGCTCGGGAGCGGGAGAGCTGTAACTTGTAAGGTATAAATAAGGTAAGAAGACAAGAAGAAGATAGATAGCACAGAATGGGGCGCTGCACACAGCGTGCCCAGGCGATCGCTCATGTACGAGTTCAGCTGGGGAGAAGAGCGGCTCAGCGTGCACGAGCGAGCGAGCGAGGAGGTGAACGAATGTCAGAAAGACGGGGAGGGAAGTAGGAAAGGTTGTGTGTGTGTGTGTGTGTGTGTGTGTGTGTGTGTGTGTGTGTGAGAGAGAGAGAGAGAGAGAGAGAGAGAGAGAGAGAGAGGATCGGGGACGGAGATGTAGGAAAGTGTGGAGAGAGAGAGAGAGAGAGAGAGAGAGAGAGAGAGAGAGAGAGAGAGAGAGAGAGAGAGAGAGAGATGAGTCATTGCGGGAGAAGGTCACTATAGTTGTGCTCACCAGACGCCTTTGAACACCAACGCCCGTTCACGTTCACGAGAAGTCAATGTGAATGTTTTTTTTTTTTGGTGGCGGCCACTGGGGGGTGGTTGTGGCGGGGGGGTKTCAGATGAATTCTCAACACTCGTTCCGTGTTTCATGTTTTTATATTATTTCCTTTTGCTGATGTAATATATACATACACATTTGTCACAGCCCCTCGTTGTACTAAATACATATATATTTGTCAAATTGTCACAGCCCCTCGTTTGTTGTCCTCTGTTGCCCCCTGGGCAAGGATGACACGCGTGCCATCCGTAACATGCGTGACATCCGTGACATGCGTAAATCGTGAAATGGTCCAATACAACTCAATGTCACGCATGTTATCCTTGCCCATGTTACAGCTCCCTCTCTCTCAACGTTGGTCTAGACGTAGATTCTTCGGAGTCGGGGGGAGCTGTAAGGTTGTCTCTAGCACTGGCCCACTGGGCTATTTGCTGGGAAACCCTGTGAAATGGTAAAGGTTTGTCTCTTACCCCAAGTGGTAAGGTTAAGCCTGTAAAGGATTTCCTGTGTGTGACCAAGTGACATTGATCCGAATCTCACACTGAGGAACAGGGGAATCTGTAAGAGTTTGTCTCTTACCCCAAGTGGTAAGGGTAAGCCTGTAAAGGATTTCCTGTGTGTGACCAAGTGACATTGCTCCGAATTCTCACACTGAGGAACAGGGGGACTGAGTACTGGTTGTATTGTGTGTGACTAAGTGACATTGCTCCGACGGCTAACATCTGATAACAACTGCACATTGAATTTCCCTGTGTTCGGAATTGTGCCTGGTGCTTACTCAGTCTTCCAGTTTTCATGCCTTGAGAATCGTCTACCTTGTGAGCAAGTGGAGCGTTCTATGCATGTCCCCTGTGCATGTCCCTTGGACCTTAAGCCTTCAGGACGTCGCAGAGTAGTCCGTCAGCGACTGCAGCCTGCAGGGAGGGGAAACTGTTTGTCGGAGCGAGCAGGGTGCATGGCTTGAGCAAGTGGCCCGGGGAATGGCAGGCACAACTGGCGGGCCGGGAACGTGTGATCAGACCGAGGACCGTAACGGTGGAAGTTGGATTGAGTCGTTGCCACGGAAGAGCAGTACCTCTGTGGTGAGACCACGAGAGAAGGGAGGGAGGGAGGGAGGGAGGGAGGGAGGGGTCCGTGGATTTCGAGAGCCGTCAACGGCGTCAAGCAGGTCAAGCTGACGAASCAGTCGATTAGCACGGTACCCTTGTTGTGAGAGTCTGGTTCTCCTTTCTCCGTGTCTTGTGCTCTACTCTTTCTCGCCCAGATTGCGGCGGAGGGAGGGGGGAGGAACGGCAGAGGGAGGGTAAAGGAAAGGCGGAGGGAGAGGGAGGAAGATAACCATGGATACGCGTCGACGACCGCCTGGGACTGCTCGTTCCGCTCGGGACGGAGCAATCGCCTCTAGGAGCTATTCTGCAGCGCGTAGGGCCCAAGGCGATTGCTGTTATATCTGCCAGGGATCGATCAGGGGTCCAGGCACAGGCAAGAGAGAGAGAGAGAGAGGGGAGCAAGCGACCGTTCTCTGCAGAAGGTGTTTGCTACCTGCATGCCACTCGTGTACTGAGTTCTTGCGAGCCCGTGACGGCAGTACCTGCCCTGCCTGTTACACCCCCATTGGAAGTGTGCAGGACTTAACCCATGGCAACTCCACTTTCTCCGGCGAAGGAGAGAGCTCCGCCCTCACTGATATACCGCTTGTGGATGAGGAGTCCGAGGAGGTGATCAGTAGCAACAGGACCTTACGCAGCAACGGGCCCAGTGGAGGGGGAGGAGGAGGAGGAGGAATTGGAGTATCCAGAATGGACAGACGAACGGAGCCATTGCTTCCACTTGTCGACGAGCCCAGAGGGGAGGATCCCAGAGATTCTTCAGCACATCCTACGAGCAAACACACTCACACTCTTCCGAGGTTGCCTGGCGATGGCGATACTTCCGCCGGGTCATCACGTGGAAGCTCAGTCAACGAGGACGACGGGCTGTCTGAGTCAGCAAGGTACGGGTATAAGGCGTCCTATTATAGCACAGACGAAGACGCCGGGCCTCTGAAACACCAGGCAGCGAGGGGGAGTACTGGCCTACTACAGCAGCAGAAGGTCATAGGAGGAGGAGGAGGAGGAGGGGGGGGGGATCGAACGTCAGCAGCGGAGGTAATGTGGAACGGCAAAGACGTCCGGCGTGCTCCTCTTCAACGGGAGGTCCCTATAGCCTTGAGCAAGCTGCTGTTGTACAGGCTGGTCGTGCTTGGGAGGTTGGTAGTGATGATTTTGTTTCTGAGGTACCGCGTTCTTAATCCGAACCCGGCGGCCTATGGGTTGTGGCTGGCATCTGTGGCGTGCGAGGTATGGTTTGGCTTCTCTTGGATTCTCGATCAGCTGCCCAAGTGGTCTCCAGTGACCCGCAAGACGTACCTAGATCGTCTAAGTCTTCGATTCGAGAGGGCAGGGGAGGAGAGCACCCTCCCTCCTGTGGACGTGTTTGTGAGCACGGCGGATGCGGAGAAGGAGCCTCCCTTGGTCACTGCCAACGTCATCCTGTCCATCTTGGCAATGGATTACCCCCCGGAGAGAGTGTCATGTTACCTGAGTGACGATGGGGCCGCCCTGCTGACCTTCGAGGCTATGGCGGAGACGGCATGCTTTGCGAGGTCCTGGATACCCTTTTGCAAGACGTTTGACATCGAGCCGCGGGCGCCCGAGGTCTACTTCTCCATGAAGTTTGACTATACTGTCGGGAAGACCCGTCCCGACTTCGTCATGGCTAGGAGACAGCTAAAGCAAGAGTACGAGGAGTTCAAGGTCAGGGTCAACGCTTTGGTGCAGAAGTCCAAGAAGCCCCCTTCTGGGGGGTTTCGCATGTCGGATGGGTCGGCATGGCCAGGGCAGTATCGGTCTGACCACCCGGGCATGATCCAGGTCTTCCTGCAGCCGGAGGGTATGACCAGGGACATTCAGGGGAATGCCCTCCCTCGCCTGGTGTACATCTCTAGGGAGAAACGCCCTCGCTTCGACCACAACAAGAAGGCCGGTGCCATGAATGCCCTGCTGCGCGCCAGCGCTCTCGTCAGCAATGGCGCCTTTATACTTAACCTGGACTGCGATCATTACGTGAACAACTCCAAGGCTATGCGAGAGGCCATCTGCTACCTGATGGACCCCGTGGTCGGCGACCGGGTGAGCTTCGTCCAGTTTCCCCAGAGGTTCGACGGCGTGGACAAGAACGACCGGTACGCCAACCACAACTTCGTTTTCTTTGACGTCAACATGAAAGGTCTTGACGGGCAGCAAGGGCCCATGTACGTGGGTACCGGCTGCGTCTTCCGGCGCCAGGCGGTCTATGGTCTCAATCCGCCGAGAAGAACAGTGAGGGGGTCCAAGGGACAGGGAGGAGGAGGAGGAGGAGGGGTGTTGCCGAGGCTTTGCAAGGGGTGTTACATGTGCCTGTGCGGGTGGTGCTGGAAGGGTTGCAAGTCCGGCGGTTCGGAGGACGTCCGGACTGCTCTCATTCCTGGCCACACCATTTCCAGTGAAGAGGCCCTCAGGTTCCCATCCAAATGGCATGCCCAACGATTTGGTATGTGCTCGGATTTCGTGATAACCACGATGGATGCAGATGGAAGGGTACCCTACTTAACCCCCTTGCAGCTGCTGAATGATGTCATTTTGGTCATATCATGCGGCTACGAGGACAACACGGAGTGGGGGAGGACAGTGGGGTGGATGTATGGATCTGTGACAGAGGATATTGTCACCGGACTTTCGATGCATGTCAAAGGTTGGAGGTCCGTGTATGCCATGCCATCGGCTGCGGCATTCAAGGGCTCCGCTCCGATCAACCTGACCGACCGGCTGGGGCAGGTCTTGAGGTGGGCAACCGGGTCGGTCGAGATCTTCTTCTCTAGACATAACCCCATGTGGTGCTACTGGGGGCGTCACCTGCAGTTCGTTGAGCGAGTGGCATACATTAACACAGCCGTCTATCCCTTCACCTCTGTGGCGTTGATCGTCTACTGCCTGATACCTGCAATCTGCCTCTTCACGGACAAGTTCATCGTCGGGGAGATCGACGACACCGCCGTGCTTTGGTTCCTTCTCCTCTTTCTCTTCATCTTTCTGAATGCTGGTCTGGAAATCTTCTGGAGTCAGATTTCCCTTGAAGACTGGTGGCGGAATGAGCAGTTCTGGGTGATCGGTGGGTCATCCGCTCACCTGGTCGCCGTCATGCAGGGCCTGCTCAAGGTCTTCGCAGGTGTGGACACCTCCTTCACCCTTACGGCCAAGGCAGCAGAGGACGATGACGAGTTCGGCGAGCTGTATGCTGTGCGATTCACTTGGCTTATGATCCCCCCTACTGTGCTGATGATAGTGAACCTGTTTGCCTGTGTAGTTGGCTTTGCCCGAGAAGTCAACAGATCGGCRGGGAACAAGCAATGGGGTCAACTGCTGGGGAAGACCTTCTTCTCCTTCTGGGTGCTGATCCACCTCTATCCATTCGTCAAGGGTTTGACAGGCAGAGCTCAGCGACTCCCTACCACAATCGTTCTCTGGTCATTGCTAGTGGCCGTAATCATAGCTCTGCTCTGGGTTCAAATCTGACCGGACATCCATTTTGACTGTATTTGGTCATGTTTCGGTCCAGATACAGCCATAAGGACCCGGCGTGTTGTATTGGAGGGAAGACTGTTGTATGGATCTGCTCTGGGTTCAAATCTGACCCGAACCAGCGGGTGAAAGTTCGTGGGTTGCCATGGATTGTCCCAGACGAACCGTCCCCACATCCATTTTGACTGTATTGGTCAACTTTCGGCCCAGATACAGCCATACGGACCCGTGTTGTATTGGAGGGAAGACGGTTGTATGGATCTGCTCTGGGTTCAAATCTGACTGCCAGTGACTGGAACCAGCGGTGAACGTTCGTGGGTAGCCACAAATTGTCCCAGAGTCTCAGACGAACCTTACGCTGATAAAACGTACAACCATTTTGACTGTATTTGGTCATCTTTTGGTCTAGATACTCGTTGGGAATCAGGTAAAGCCATAAGTACTGTGCATTCTATTGGAGGGAAGACAGTTGTATGGATGATTTGCGCTCACTGCCCCTCGAATATCCATTATAGAGTTTCAACAATAAGCACGTGAAGTGGAGTGGTACAGATGGAAGGAGCCATGACGTGGTGACCCGCCTTAGTACGGAACAGTCCAACTTCAGTGACGAAAGACACATCGGACAATGTTGCTTCATTATTGACACCATAGTTATAATTCATTATGTCCTAGGTTGTGAATAGTACTCACATGTGACAGTAGTAGTAGTTTTTGGTAAATAAGTGGCTGTCGATGGAATAGTTATGAGTCTTATGACAAGTCCTCTACTTCATGAAGTTCATGTGGCGGCATTAGTTTTGTGACTTTTGTTAAGAATGAGTGCTTGCAATGATCATGGCGCAGACTATTCGCTTGTGACAATAAATTGTGAACAATAGCATGTCGACATTGGTATGTTGAGTATTAAACAGCTACTCGATGTACTGGTTTCTCCTCTCTCTCTCTCTCTCTCTCTCTCTCTCTCTCTCTCTCTCTCTCTCTCTCTCTCTCTCTCTCTGTGTGTGTGTGTGTGTGTGTGTGTGTGTGTGTGGCACTGTGCTGTCAAATTCGCTATACACTCAAAAATAGCATGACTATGCCAGAACCCAAAGGCAAACTGAGACTGTTTTGTTGGACTTTCACTGACTCAACAGGAGGTTGAACTTGGACAGACAGTTCTTCAGGATGCGTTTGACTTTTGGATAACAATTTTGAGTCACCACATCACCCAGAGTTAGCGACGTGTGTGCGTGTGCGCGTGTGTGTGTGTGTGTGTGTGTGTGTGAGAGTGTGTGTGCATGTGTGAGAGTGTGTGAGAGTGTGTGTGAGAGAGAGAGAGAGAGAGAGAGAGTGTGTGTGTGTGTGTGTGTGTGTGTGTGTGTGTGTGTGTGTGTGTGTGCTCACTCCGCAAACGAGTGGTTAGTCCGTCGCACACTCAAGGCCAGCGAAGTGTTGAGCCCTGAAGCATCTGACTGATTTTATTTTTTTTTTAATTATTTTTTTTTTTTAAGTCCAGGGTATTGTAGAGGTCAGTCAGTGATTGCACAGTGATCACCTGGAACTGTGAGCCGCAGGTGTCCTTCTAAGACCCCATCCCAACCCATCTTCACGTCAATACTCCTAGCGCACCCCCTATCCCACTATCCTACCTCAGTGTGACCAGCACTCAGGACCATTGCCCTACCCACGAGCAGGCAACTTAAACCGAACAGCAGTGATAGGCACCAGGGCTGATGGGTAACCCAGCCCTGGTGGAAGCGGAATTGGACGAACCTTGTCGAACAGGAACTTCGGACGCTAGGCCATATCTAGCCACCAGACAGTTCTATTCGAATGTCAGTAGGAACCACACCCAATGGCACCCTATCCAACCTACCTGAACCTACTGCAGGCACTGACAGTCTAGACCCTACCAGTGACTAGCCCCCCAGTCTGTTTTTTGTGTACATATATATTCTGTGAATCTATGTTGGCAGTATCATGTGTGGAACATGTGTATATGGTTGTATGCTGCACCCCACCATGGAGCATCTATGATGTGAATAGCCACCAGATCGTTCAGAATCTATTCGAATGACAGTAGGAACTGCACCCAACGGCACCCTATCCAACCTACCCGAACCTACTGCTGGCACTAGACCCCACCAGTGACTAACGTGTGTGTATTGAATGAAGTCATATGTATATATATCAAGGAGAGGACGGGGCAAGCTGGACAAGAACCCCCCCCAAGGATCAAGCCAGGCTCGGACCCGTGCCCTGTAACGTGTAAATCCAAGACTCTACCATATGAACAACCACCAGATATGGACATGTGATATGCCAGACTGGGGAGAAACCAGAATAACTGCAACCAACTCCCCAAGCAAACCCTGTAACACCCACAACCAACATACAATACCGTGGACTACCCTTGGGTGGTGCGCAGACAGTGTCTGTAATAGTACCATGCGTCAGCCCAAGGGAATGTGTGTCCAGCCGTGTGTCAATCTAACGCCCTGCCGGTGTCCATGCGCAAGGCTGCAGGGTTTTTGAACCTGCAACCTTATACCACAATGCGCATTTCCAACCGGTGCTCTAACCACAGAGCTACATCAACTGACTGATGTTGTTACCACGTTATGCTTACCCTTGAGGAACGTGGCTGAACTCTTGTCACTTGTGTGTGTCTGTGGGAGAGTGTGTCCTGGGCCCTGGGCACGGGCGGGATTTGAACTCAGAACCTGAGCCAAATGATGTGAGTTTAGGTCAGCCAATAGGCGGGCCTCTGGGAAAATTTGATCTTCCAAAGAAGTGGTTAGGGAAGGGGAGCCATGTTTTCTGGTTCTTTTTTATTTTTATTTTTATCTGTTTATGACCCTTATCTCGGGAGACTGTCCCCTTCCCCCGCCTCTGCAATTCTCCAGAAGCACCCCTCCACTCCTATAGTCCCAGTCAGTCCTACCCCTACCCCGTTCAGGGCAGACTGTTAGGGTTCCACACTTAACACTCTTTTGTGGAGTCCTTTTTTTTTATTATTTTTTTTATTTTAAGAAACGGACCCAGTGCCCAAGGCTCCAATTACAAAATTGATTACAACATGTACACACACGCCTCTTCCCATTAGGGCTGGACGAGCCTCAGCCACTGCTCCCCTGGAGACAGTTTCCCTGTACGACACGAATATAGCATGAGCAAGGGGCATTGATTGCTTCCCTAGTCAGGAAGGATGAACCCCGTTATTCACAAAATCAAGCTCTACCCTACTCTCCTCAATTACCCCTACTTCTAACCATTCTGCACCATGAGGAGTGGGGGAGATTCCCTACTTCTAACCATTCTGCGCCATGAGGAGTGGGGGAGATTCCCTACTTCTAACCATTCTGTGCCATGAGGAGTAGGGGAGATTAACATTGGGCAGAGGTACCAGCCTCCCTTAAAAAAATAAGCTCGTGCCAGCTGGAAACCGGGTCCAGCGTACAGTAGTCATTTGGTAAATAAATGGCTGCCCTCGACGCCTGCCGGAAATTAGGTCCAACATCCCATGGAGCCATTTAGGGCCATATATCTTTCTTTCTTTTTTCTTTTTTTTATTAACATAATTTTTTTACTGTAGGCCCGTGTAGGGGCTGCGAACCGGGCTACCCCACTCCACACTTCCTTCCATTATGGTTGAAGGATGCTGAGACAGTGGCATTGACTACTCCTCTTTTTTTTTTCTTTTTTTTTTTCCTTCGAGAACGGGCTGAGTGGCGAAAGCTGATATTACCAATAAGGGAATTGAGGTCGGGGTCCTCACAGTCTACCTGGAGTAACCAAACCGAAATTGCTGAGAACCGGGCTCAGCGTCCCTCATCATGAAGATGGTGATAATGGTGATGGTGGTGATAATGATGATACTAACAATCATTTTCCTGCTGGAAAATCAGGTCCAGCGTCCCACACTTCTGACTTTGTACTGTACAGAGGGCGCGGAGCGGAAGGAGCCACTGGGGGGCACCAGTGGGACCTCCTTCTCAGTCGAAGGCTGAAAGATGCATCATCAATTGCCTTTGTAGCGACGAATTTGAGACTGTCATCAAACCCAGGTTTCCGTCAGTGAGAGGGCGTGGGGAGGGAAGGGTTCGGAGAAGTCTGGGGGGGGGCCGTAAAGGGAATGGGTCCATTCTTTGAAAATTAACTTGTAGTCCCTCATATCCTCCAAACCTCATTGAGCTTCGACTTTATTCCCTCCCCATGTGGCCTTCGCTACTCATCCCTCCCCATGTGGCCTTCGCTACGCATCCCTCCCTCTCTCCTCCCAACCAGTCTGTGCAAAATGCTGTAATCCCCTTCCTGATGTCAGAGATTTGCGATGCTGTAATCCCCTTCCTGACGTCAGAGATTTGCATGAAAAGATCCAGTTGTGACTTCGTGTCGGACCATCTTTGTATGAGTCCTAGCTGTACCTGTTGCTGATTTTACCATCTTCTGCCAAATCCGGTCCCACCACCTCCGCATGAACTGGGCTATTGGGCATTGCATAAAAATATGCTTGATAGTATCCGCCCTCTTACGGGCAGGAAACATGTGCAGACACCGCTGGCACCATGGCAGCGCCTGGGCCCGCTGTTCCAGGTTGGTGCGATCTATTAGCCAGTCGTTTGTGGGCAGGCAGTGGTGTGCTATCTGCCACTATAGGGACGAGATTTTTGCAGGTTTGGGTTTCTGGTCTTGGAACCAACGAATAGGCTTC